AGATTCTTAGTTTCAGGGCATCATTCACCAATGAAGACATTGTTCCGAATATTATATTCCATTTATGCCAAAGAATCCCCCTAAATGTTACACACTGTTCCTATAAGAATAATTACAAAACTATTGTCAGCAAAATGTTCTCTATAGGTAATTTACACAATATCTATTGCCTCTACAAAACTTTTAACATGACAATGGCTCAGCCAGCGGCTCGCAACTACAGTGCAAACAACGGCAACAGTGCCAACAGAAGAGTTGCCAACCGATAAGTCCTTAAAAATGTTCTTGGTTTTAAACGAAAAGATCATGGTATGGGTTGAAAAACACCAACATTGACTGTCTCTGTTAACTGTGACACAGTCTCCGTTGTAAAATGTATATGCCTTGTTGACCAAACCACCCACTTCCTCTCTAAGAGGTATTGCAGCACTAACTTAACTACTGCCTTTACTTTTGAGACCACCGGAGATTGCATGGACAATGTAAATATAAGTTCAGTCAGCCAACTCATGTGAAATTCGTTATTACGGAAATGTAGAACATGTACAATGTTGCTATTTGGCGTCTGGGCTCAGACTGAGCCATTGCCCACAAGGAAGCACCAAACTAAGCAGGGAGTTGGAAATTATCATAATTACTGACACCCTCAGCGAATGCAGACTCAGAGCCTACAGGTTGGTGCTAAGGGAAAGGTGAGGCTAACCGAATCCTAAATAGAAAGCAGCAAAGATGGCAGCACAGGAGTGAGCAGGGCACTGACAACTTCAAGTACACCAGCATAAACTGTCAGACCTAGCATGGAGCCCACACTGTCAATAACTGCACTCCCTGCATAAATATTGTACATTTTTTGGAAAAACAAAACAGACAGTATTGTCCACACTAAGTGATTGAAGGATATATCCAGGATTTTAAACTGATTTAGCAGTTGAACAGATACAAATAAAAGCTTAAATCTGTCCACTTGTCTTTAAAACCCAGGAAGTCTCATTGAAATGTGCTGCCAACTTTGTAACAATTGCATTTCATGAATATTTTGAAAACACTGCCTGCCTTGCTTAAATTTGCCTTGCACCTAGACTGCGAACAAGCTCTCTGTGACCTGAAAGGAAATACTGAGATGAAACTGATTATATATGTGTTTGCTATTCAGTTGTTCATGTTTTTTGAATTCATGTTATTCAAGTTGAATTTTAACATGGAGCATGCTGTGGGAGGAAGATTTATGGGACGGCAACAGCTTGAATATGTCACGAGTACTCCGCATAGTACATGCAGACAAACTCATGTTCATACATTTTAAAGTCTCCACATTGTGTGTTTATTTTGGCTGCTACAACTGGTTATATTCAGTTTTGATTATTGTATTCAATAAACTGCTTAATTATTTAGTCCCATTGCATTGTTTGCACCCCGTAGAGCAGAGGAAAGGGCCGGACTACCGACACCCGTGGTAAGCTGTGGATGCCACCGCAGTTGATGAAATTATCATCCTTGAATGTAGAAATCCAAGATAACATCAAATAGCATTAAACATTTTCAGAACAGAGCGTCAATAGTTTTCAATCGTATCTCATAAGGTGCATATATCACCAAATACGATAAAAAAAATCTTTTTCTTGGACTTCCTCTCGGTAGTTGCTGTGACTCACTGTAAGGAACCAGGCCCATTTCTATGCCCAAACATTCATGAGGTGCTTTGCATTGAGTGTGGGTGTGCAGAGGGAGGGATGTGAGGCTGATCTATGTGCGCACATTTTCAAATTGATTTGGGATATACAAAAGGATGTAACACAATAGCAGGCGTATGCACATTCTATTATATATTTTTTTAGCACACTGAACTTTTGGCTTCTGTGCGCACGTACACTTTTAGTGTGGATCCTACGCAGTGTTTTATGAATGAGGCCCGCATGGGTCAGAGTTTCCATTTTTCGGACACATATCGAGGTGCTTGTGGGTGAGGTGGTCCCTGAACACTCGTCCCCTCCTAATTCTTCTATTCACGTAGTCCTCTAGCAGTGACAGTGCATCCGTCATGCAGCAATACTTGTGTCAACATAATGCAGGAGTCGCACTGTTTGCCCTAAAATCATCGAGACAATCAAGGTATCTCCCACGGATATCATTTGAAAATATCTGACAAGGGAACACAATTTATTTACTTAAGTTTTGTTTTGGTGAACTTGGTCGGCACTATGATTCGGACTCGATGGGGCTTTGGAGTGTAATGATTGAGGGAGAGCGGTCACTGGCTTTATTTCTGCACTTTGCTAGTTTAACCAATCTATATGTGCAGGTCGTGAAGATGTATTGGGTGAGGTTACTGGAGAGGGCAGAGTGAAACTATATGAAAACTAAAGGATTTAAGAATAATATATTGTAATTATGCAATACAGCGATGCATGAACTAAATTCAGTTGTAGTCCATTTACAACACAATAAACACATGACAAACAAAAGAAAAACAGGAGTACTTTACACACAGTAGTGCATTTTTTGAAGGAACATAAACAGCAGTAACAAAAACAGTTATCTGGTCAGATACTATGGCCGACATCTTCACATTAAAAACTCAACATGAGGAAGACACTGTCCATCAAGTTTGACTGTGTTTGTGCACCAAGCATCATGATGTGAACACAGAGTCCACCTCCTCTGGTCCACCAGAGTCCTGCTCTCTGTCCTGCTATCCACCCCTCAAGTGCTGCTTGATCTTGGACCACGATAGATCCAGGTCTCTGTGAAGATGTGGGCTCAAGTCACCGACCTCCCGCTGGTTAGTGGAGTAGCCTCAGGTCCTAGCTGGGTTAGCTTAGCTTCCATCTCGGCTCTCCTCTCTTCCTTGGTGCAGTTTGGTGGCATTGGGTCTGGCAGGTTGGTCAGTCAGCCGTGGACGGTGATCATCTCAAAGTCTGCTGCACTAAATCTAATCTAATCCCCTCTTCATTTTCAGATGTTGATGATGTATTCTGTCATAGGCCATTAGTGATAAACATGATAAAACAACAAATAAAGACAAGAATGTAGCAAACTTTATGGTAGCTACCGGCCGCAGCATGTACATGTGCTTCTGTTGCCATCTCCCCTGGGCTCCGTGATGCAAACAGCGCTGACGAAATACATAGGGAAATTTAATTTTAGATTTGAGTTGGTTTATACCTTATACACTTGAAAAGGGCTTATGTTGCACCCAAAATCCCATAGGGACTGTGTCAGCCCCACGGCCACTTAAATTATTCTAATAAAAAGCAAATAGAAGAGGAGTTATACAAAATAACCTAATACAAATGAACCGCAACAGTGCAACAAAATAGGAGCATTAAATGTGGACTTAAATATCAGATCTCTGTCATCTAAAGCCATACTAGTAAATTATTTATATCAAATAATCATATTTATTCATTTTGTCGCACCAGCCGAGGAGGTGGCGTAGCAGCCATCTGTAACTCAAGCCTATTAATCAACCCTAAACCTAACTGAATGATAACTCTTTTGAAAGCCTTGTTCTTAGTCTTTAATTAAAACCTAAACCGGAAATCACTACAGCCAGTTCTATTTGTTACAGTGTGCCCCAGGTCTATATTCGGAATCTCTCTCTCGTTTTGCTTTTATCTCGTTAAATTCTATTGGCTTCTGTCAGAGTGTACAGAAACCCACTCACTTGTTCTGGCATATGGCATTGAAATTGAACATTTAATAGTCTTTCCACAGAACCCTCTTTTATTGGACCATTATCTAATAACTTTTGAATTCTCACTACCGGACAACATGCCATTAGGCAAAAGTTTGTACTCTAGATGTCTGTTGGTGCTGTCACTAAATTGAAAGAAGTTTTTGCATCTGCATTTATTTCAATGAGATTTCTCAATATAACAGAGGACTCCTATTCTAACTTTAGCCCCGAGCAAATTGATCATCTTCGTGATCGTGCTAAAAATAAAGATGAAAAAACAAAGGAAGTTAGCTCCATGATATAGCCTTTAATAAACCCACAAATTAAAGCAAACGTTCCAAAAACTTGAAAGGATATGGCGTTCCAGTTCCACTAATTTGGAAGAATCTCTGCTAGTCTGGCGAGATTGTGTTAAAACATAGGAAAGCCCTCTGTAATACCAGAGCTGCCTATTACTCACCTGCCTGCTGATCAACGCTTCTTTACGGTACAACACGAGAGGATACGGCAAACTAACGAAAGCAAGACCAAGAAAAGGAATTGTTGAAAACAGAAATGGAGGTGCGAGTGGGTGAGGTGGTCCTTGATCACTCGTTCCCTCCTAGTTCTTCCATTCATCTGGACCTCCAGCAGTGCCAGGTCCTCCATCATGAAGCATTACGCATTACAAGTGTCATCACTATTTGTATATTTTTACAGCAAAATGCTTACAAAATGATTGGATAGTTTTATAGGTGAGCACAATTTATTGTTATTTGGACTGTATATTTTTTATTTATTTTGCTTTTTTCCTTTACAATGTTTACTATCTTAGTTTAGCATGTCAGAATGCTAAAATTCGGTAATTAGCACAAAACAAAAAGTGCAGCTAAGTCTAATGGGATGACCACTAGTTTTGCAGTTATTTAGTGATAAAGTATTGCACAATATTGGATTTTTACCCAATGATTACACTGGATGAAATGGTAAGGGATCACCAAAGATCTTACAGTGTGTGGGTATATGCCCAAAACAATTTGGTTTACAATGATGTCGGTGAAGAGAGGTGTTGCAAATCATAACATTGGGGAGGCTGGAACTAATATGTTGTATTTTTAATTGATAGATTATTTGAAATAATATATTGATTATCCAAATAGTTGTTTTCTGTCAATTGACTGATAATCAATTAATCATTGAATGATCTATTGCTGTGAGGCTTGAATGTATCAGTGCAATCATGCCTTACTTAGTATAATGTTTATCCAGCTCTCTTGTCTTCTCGTGTCTTCATGCGTTGATAAGCTACATATCTCCTGAGTGTTTATCTATAATGTGTGTGCAGGAGGTGGGCTGTGATCGCCAGCTAGCCAGTGGTGCCAGAGAGGATAACTGCGGCGTCTGTGGCGGGGATGGCTCCACATGCCGGCTGGTACGAGGACAGGCCCTACCCCACCTTACACCAGAACAATGTAGGTCATGCAATCTTGATCCGTGTCCAACTTACATACGTCTTCATTTACTCTGGTTCCACTTCTAAGCCTCATGTTCACCAAGCTAATCCTTAATACTTAACACACTGGACTTTTGAAATACCCTTACAGCCCTTTACTTCCTCCAAATGTTTCTTTAGGCCATCACTTAGCTCAGCCTACGAGCTTTCTAGGTCATTTTAGAGAATACACCCTCAGCTCAGACCTGAACATATCTCTGCTGATTTCGTACCTGTAGACAAAACACTGTATCTCTGCCTAGGCTTCCTCCCAGCCAGGCTCTATGGGAGGTAATACAGCTGGATATTTGTCTACATGTTCTCACTCCTAACTTGTCAATTACCACCGCACACACAGAAAGACTTACAAATGTATTTGGTGACAAAATAATAACGGGGCACCACCCTGAGAACCAAACTATAAACAAAATCTCATAATTAGGATTCACTCACAATGTCAATAGTCAAAGTACTATTCCACATTCAGAGTGAAAAGTGACGAGTTGAGTTCGAGCAACAGACCACATGTTTCGGGGACAGCCAGAGCTGCACCGCAGGGAGTCCTGGGGTGTCTGTGGCTGTTTGTCCAAGGGGATCCCAGCTCTGGTGTTTTATTGCTTTTCACATCTAAGGCCATGTGAAACGTTCCTTGGAGCTTGCTGTTATCTTCAACCCAGATCAGGCTTTTTGCTGAACATGCAGGCCTACAGATCCCTTTAGAGCACGTGGTTCACACGCACATAGTCAGACCCCAACATAATAAATGTAACCAAAATCTACATATAAAAAAGTAAGATTTACAAATATGTTTCTGATGCACACATAAATATTTCTCGTTTTAAATAAACATAATTGAAATCCAAGTATTAAAAGGGATTTAAAAATGACATCAAAGTATATGGATGTTGTTACATTTATATACAAAATGTTGAACTGCTTGACGTCTGTGAACTTTTTTAAAACTCCCCAAGCGTCGCTCAATTCACAAATGTGTTTTTATTAAAAATGGAATTATCTGTAGGCAATTAGATGTGTAGTCCATTTTCAACCAATCACATGAATGCGCCCCCACAAGGGTATACCCTTACTCAGTGCTGGTGTTTTCCTCCAACATAGTGGATGTAACCTTCAATCCAGTTCATGTATCCTTTGTTTGAATTCTTTTTTGGGTCTTTGCAGACTTGTTTATTTGTTTCAACACATAGCTGGGGTGCACAAGTCAAATTATTGGGCAAACAAAAATTACGTCAGCTTCCGGTTTCCACCCCATACCCTACCTGAGTATGATGTAAGAGTTTACCCTTGTGGGGGCACGCTCATGTGATTGGTTTGAAATGGAGAAGACATCTGATTGGCAACAGATAATTCCCTGTTGGAAAAAGATGCATTTGTTAATTGAGCGACGTCAGGGGAGTCAAAACAAAACCCACAGACAAATGCAGTGAAGTATGTAAATGCAGGTTCAACAGTTTGTATATTAATGTAACAACATCCAAATATATCCAAATCCTATTTAAAAACATGTATTTGTGGATTTCTATTACATTTATTTAAACAGGAAAAAAGTTCATCTCAAACAAGCCTATTGACATGAGGGAACCTATATAGTGGCTAAGCCAAACTAAATAACACACAAGGGGTAACCAAGATGGACACCAACTATAAGTTAATACAAAGCAAAGCAAACTAAGCCCAGAGTAGAATTAACATGACATCCACTTAAAAAGGTCTCTCCTCAATACTACGCCTCCTTGCTGAACCACAGAGAGAGGAACACTTTTAGTGTGAAAAGACACAAGGTATTTTTACAGGCTGGACAACAGAAATCCTTCCACTTCCATTACTTTCAATTGCTGCACTCTTTGCTGTCTGTATGCTGTGTGAGACATTACAAAAGTCTCATGATTGACTAGTTGGCAGGGCTCACTGAGGTTTAACAGTAACACATGTGGATGTTATTTAGGTCTGCAGAGCTGATCAATGCTGCTGTGCATCTGTAAAGCAGGCAGATTTGGGGATGGCAGTGTGGTGGTCCTTTATTCAGTGCTCTCAAAACACTGAGGCCTTAACAAGCAAGAGTAGAGGGAAGGAGATTTTTTAATGTTATGGAAGGGACTTTATAGTTATACCCAAGCTATGTGCTCTCTTCTGTCTCTGATGCAGTTAAAGGACTTAATACACCTAATATAAAGCAACATAACCCAAAGGGGTTAGGCAGAGAATCACCAGTCTGTGGCAGGCAAGACGGTACAGGTTGTAGGGTTCAAGTAGTAAGATCCAGAGGTTGGAAAGCAAGGCATGAGCAATCTGACAACTGACTGGGGAAAATTTACTGTAATATGTACTGACGGGGCTGATGAGGGGAAGTGGAAACAGGTGAGCAAGTGAATGAGAGAGTAGACTGGGGCTGGTTGATGGATGGGGAATGGCAAGTCCAGAGAGTTCTGAAGAAATGCATGGGCCTGAGGGAAGCGAGAAGTAGCTGGGGGGCAGACTGAGTAAAATGAAAATTACTCAGACAGACATTGTGACAACATGGGGGTAGCAAGAAGCGTAATAGGCCAACTTTGACTTCTTGTATTTTCTCCGACAATTCTGATGCCTGTAGGGATAGTTGCTAGTGAAAACGTTAAGCAAGTGGAAATACCTTCTCCTTTTCAGTGACATATATCTAGCAAAGCCGTCTCCATCGAAAATTTTATGTTCACTGTGACCACCATTTTTTTTTTTGCAATGAATGAAACAACGGGAATACAAAACTTCAAGAGGCGATTCCTGGCTCATTTCAAAAACGGTCTGCCATCCACCCTGGACCCCCTCCATTGTGCCTGCCTCCAGAACAGTTGTACGGCCGATAAAATTCGATACTAACTTCATTTCAGCATTCAAAACCATCATCACCTCCAGGGGTGTCACCTGTGATTTTTGGGCCCCATAACAAATATATCTGGCCCGACCACCACAGGCCACACCAACCCAATTGCTGTAACCACACCTCAAGGAATCCGATGGACCAATTCAGAGCTTTCAATATCTCTAACATTGCAGGCTTGCAACTCTCTTGAATGCTTGAATGATATTTGCTGAAAGTAAGCTGTGGAACTATGACACAGTGCAGACATGCAAGCAACATTCTGCACACATTGGAATTCAAAAGTTGCTGCTAGACTGACTCTTTATAAGAGTGCGCTAAATCCCATCTTTTACAGTTTCAATACATTTTGATTGGTAAAATTCTTGAATAAACAATTCTCTTAACCTTAATAAATAATTTAAACTAGACAATTTGGAGAAATTACCATCACCATTGTGAGGAATTTAAGTTTAAAGCGCTCCTAGTGCTGGATATTATGTGTCACAGTGTGTTTACTTGTAGGAGTTTTAACCAAGGAGTGTGGTTGAGTGTCTGTGTGAGGGGGTTGAGGAATGTGTTGGAAGCAGGGGGGTTGGAAGAAAGTGGCTGGGTGAGGTGTCTGATCAGAACAACAGGTCAAGGGCCAAGGAGGGGCTTATTGGATTTCAGCCAATCATTGAGCTGATCGATCGGTGTAATATGAGACTCTTCAGAGACTTTTCCAGGGGACAAAATGTTTGAAACTCTGGAGGATGTCAGATCTTCTGGGGGCCACCGAGCAGTCACATCGGGCTGCTGGGTGGCTTGGATCTCATATTTCATGGAATATTATGTTATTAATAGTTTGATTCGGTTTGTAACTGTTTTAGCTTCTGTTAAATATTAAATACTTTTGATTTTAACCTGGACCAGCTGATTCCGGCCCTGCTTGCTGATGGAATAAAGAGAGCAGGGGGGCTGCTTCTTCTCCTCTGTGGCCTTCTTCTCCTCTGTTTGAGAAACTTTTGAACATAACACCATCTATACAACTGTAACAAACAACATCATAAAATCAGCAGCAGCTTTTTACTAAATATATTTAACAACTAGAAAATAATAATATATCCTTAAATATAATACCATTTGTAATCACATCGCAACCAAAATTTAAGTTACTACCACCTGACATGTGCTCACCTCCTTCCTCAGTTGGGAGTAGGGCAGTCAGAAGAGGAGCGAAATGTTACCACTCTGAATCTTCTGTGAAGATATTAAGGTTAGAAAACCAACCTTGATGTGAGTCTTTTACTCTCTGTTCACCTAAGAAAGCACACCTGAACATGGTTCCAGTACCATTATGAAGTTCGCTGATGACACAACTGTAGATGGCCTCATCAAAACAACGATGAGTCTAACTACAGGAAGGAGGTCCAGCACCTTGCTACAGGTGTGCTGACATTAACCTGGCACTTAACACGCTCTCTAAATGTTCTATGTTCACTGGTTGGTCTCTAGCTTTGTCTGCTGTAGGGTACCGGGCAGGTAGTGTAAAGTGGATTTATCAGAGCTTTTTCACTGAAAACAGCAGTAAATTGCTGCTTGAAATTAGGTTGATGAAAGTGGAAAGCAAGAAAACAGCAAAAATGAGCTAAGTGGATGGATCAAACAAACACAAGACTTTTGTCCAGGAAACCGCCGTTTGTGTCCCTTGTGAAAATAAAAGTAAACATTATCATTTTGTTACGACCATTATCAGACACTTAGTAATGTTGTAAGCGGTTAGTCAGTCAAGTTAACGTCAAATACGCTCTTTTCCTTAACCTAAATAAGTGATTTTGTTGCCTGAACCTAACCTCCCTTTGAGACGGAAGTTTATTTTAAAAGGACTGTCTGCATGTCACGAGTGGAAACTGACACGTCTCTGCCATGTCCAAAACCAACGCTAGAGTGGTGCCTAGAGTGTCATTGTTTGAAGCTTAGGGCCACTGACCAAGCGTCAGTATTTCATGATTTGAAAGTGAGAATGTGTTGCCCAAAATCAACTAAATGGAAAACTAACCAATCTGGCAACAATGATTTTGTTAATTACTATGGTCTTGATGAATAGTAGTTATTGCTTACAAATTGCCTACAATTTGTAGAATTAGTCAGGTGGTGTTAGTATTAGTTTAAAAATGACCAGATTTAGAGGGTATGCTGAAACATTAGCCATCAGAGAGTGAGTCAACGAGGTGAACTCCCACTACTGTCAATACACCCAGTGGACGTTTAGTGTGGTTTCTCTTTAAGGCACATTCCATTCAATGCAATTCTATTTTTAAAGCCCAATATCACATGTCACAAATTTGCCTCTGAGGGCTTTACAATCTTTACAAAATACGACATCCTCTGTCCTTGGACCCTTACATCGGATAAGGAAAATATGATTGAAACCAGTTTATTCCGGTTCCTTTTAATCCCAATTAAATGTTCCAGTCTCTCTAATAGGATATGATAGTCAATGGTGTTGAATGCAGTAATAAGATCTTACAAGTCCTTTGTCTGATGCTATTAGAAGGTCATTAGTAATTTTCAGCAGTGCTGTCTCTTTGCTGATGATGCTTTGTAAATCCTGACTGACGATCCTCTAATACGCTATTGTTATGGAGAACGTCATACAACTGATAAGTCTCAAGGATCTTGGAGAAAAAAGCAAGGTTAGATATATGTCAATAATTGGCTAAAACCTCAAGAGTGAGATTTTTAAGAAGAGGTTTAATTACAGCTACTTTGAAGGGCTGTGGTACATGGCCTGTTAATAAAGACAGATTAATCATATCTAGTAAATAAGTGCTAAATAAGGGAAGAACTTCTTTTGGCAGTTGGGATGGGGTGAAATGTTTAGATGAAAAAATTGCACAAGTAAATTGGGGAAGGTCGATGGGATGACAGCACGTCTAGGATTTGAAATCAAGATTTATTGTAAAATTGCAGAGAATGACGATGGATACTGACTGGCAAGCAAGGCAGGGATGGCATGCTGGGTGTGGCAAGCTGTAGGCAGGCATACTGATATATTCTGATACAAAGATAGACTGATTAGCAAGCAACCTGCATTTGCACACAAGAAAATAACTTGAAATTTACTTTTCAAGCAACGTAGAACTGAACACTACCAGTGTAGTTAAGTCAACAATCTGGTAATGAGTGAGTCAAGAGCCATAGTAGATATGCTGCAGAGAAGATAAACTGATGACTGTCATGTGTGTGGACCGAGGAAAGTGATAAACAGATGTAGACAGGTGTGGTAGACATGGCCCATGTTGTCAGCAGGACAGGCAGAGACATGGCACATTTTAATTTTCAGGTTTGAGGCTTATAACTTGTAGTTAACTTATTCAGTGTGGCTTTGTAGCACAAAGGCAGTAAAACTGCCTGTGCCAAAGCACACTGTATTATCCATCGGGCTTAATCATACTAATCTTTATCCAAAAGTTTGGCGCGCTTCTCCTCACACAGCGTTGCCAACAGCGGCATGAAAAATACATCAAAACGTGCGGCCTGATCGGGAATAGTGTGCTATCTATTTTTCGGAGAGATTCGCCCAGCAGTTTTCCCGAAAATCCCAAAAAACTGAGCAAAATTTCTCCATTCACTTGAATGGGGTTTCGGCGTGAAGAGAGCTAAAAAAACACTTAACTTTGGGCCCATATTGACTAGCCATACTTTAACGTAGAAACATGATTAAAAGTTTAAAACGTAGACAAAACGCTGCACTTTATTGAGCCAAAGGGACATTTTGAAAGCTAGCACAGTTTTCATGAAGTCGCAGATTAAGTTTCAGGAAAATTTGGGTCCATTTCAGATTTTATAATGGGTGTGTATTGCACGGCTCGTTAAGAGCTAGAGTGAGAGCATAACTGTCAGAGTGGAGCAGAGCAGGAAAATCTTCTGTGATTTTTCCAAACAAATTGCTCCAGCTCCCACAATTTTTACTCTTTATACACCATTTTTGGCCCAAAAGCTTGGAAATGTTGTGCTGGTCGCAGTCAAGTGTCTATGGAATCCAACAGACTTACACATTTGGCTCAAAGAGCCACAGAGCAACATGAACTCCAACCAACTGCTCCATTAGACTCCATGTTAAATCTCACCACTAATTTCTCAAAGAAAGCAGACGGTACCAGTTTTGCATATTGCTCTGGAGCTCACATCTTTAACACCACAAACATAAAAAACACATTACCGCATTTGGCAGAGTCTTATCTTTCTCACGGTATCCATATTTTGGCACTCAGACTCCTGCTAATTTGTTGAAAAGAGGCAGGGGTTTTGTTCAAAATCACTGATTACTCCAACGTTTCTTAATCAGTCTGCCTCTAACACCAGGTGCGTCCTCACCATGGCAACCAGTTACACACATGCACGCAGGCTCTCTCTCTCTCTACACACACACACATGGAGATATTCAGTCAAAGGCATTGTTAGACCTCCTCTCTGTCTGTCTGTCTCTCACTCATCACTCTGTCTGTCTTTATGTTTCTCTCTCTCTCTCTCTCTCTCTCTCTCTCTCTCTCTCTCTCTCTCTATCATACAGTCATTCAGGTTTTAGATATATTTAGAGAACCCCCCCCTCCTCCCATTTCAAAATAAAAGCTCCAGAGAGTGAATTCTAACTGGAATGCTTGTGATGAAGCCCGTCATTTAATAACCTCTGTGTTTGTGTGTCAAACATGAGGAATATCTCTCCTCTCCCCCTCTCTCCCCCACCCAGTCCCACCCTTTCAAAATAAAAGCCCCATAGAGTAACTGTATCTTAACATGAAGCTCAGAATGAGGTTTGTACAGAAATGACGGGAGCCATTTGTGGACTGTCCATCACAAATACAAGATTCAATCCAAGAGTATGAATCTAAAATGCAGAAAAGAGAGAAGTGCTATCTCAATCGAACCTCAACGATACTACCGGACATCAGCGTGTGTAGCTATATATTGCAACGTCTTCGGGCAGTAGAAGCCACACTGTCAAAATTTCTTGCGAAATTTTCTAGTTTTGTTTTATTATCTTCTTTTTTAGAAGGGTAATAAAGTCGAGTGTCATTGGCAGTGAGCTTGGCAGTGAGCTTGTAGCACTAACTCGTATGGACTCGTATGCTAACCCACCCAAATCGATCATCATGTTGATGGGTGGGTTAGCATAGGAGTCCGCTGTTGTATTGAGAGATGGCATTTAATCTAATGTCAATGGAATCACTTCCTAAAATCTGACTAGAGCACTATCAGATTATAAGACATTGAGTGAAACCATTTAGAAAGTCTGGTAGTAAGAACTAAAAACTTTAGATAATTAGATAATTGTTTGATGAAAGAAGGTTCTATGGAAAGACTATTAAATGTTCAATTTCAATGCCAGAACAAGGTAAATGGTGTGGTTAATCCAATGGGTGGGTTTCTGTACACTTTGACAGAAGCTAATCACATCTAATAATGAGATAAATGCAGCTATCATAATCCACATCCACATGAATATTACAATCACCTACAATAATTACTACAACAACCGTCATCGCAGAAGCACAGCACCCACCTTCCAGTTCCCCTTCATTCAGCACTGTCAGCACTATTGCTGTAGTTAGCACTCTTAGCTATGAGCCGCTGGCTTGCCGGCGACATGTTGAGAGCCTCTTTAAGGTCTAAACTTGATAAAAACTCTGAGAATTCAGTCATCATCATGACATCATTGTGACATCATCCTCCTCCAGTTTCCACATTTCATTTAAATGTTTTATGAATGTTCTGTTTATTTGGTTCTTAATGCGGTACACTAAACCAAATACAATTGGCTGTAGTGTTTTCCAGGCTGGATAAGAACAAGGCTTTCAAATGCGTCATAATTTAGTTTAGGTTTAGGTTTAAGTGATAGGCTTAAGTCGAAGATGGATGCAACCTACCTCCTCGATGAATGTGAGTATTAATATGCATGGGGGGGAGTGGATTTATTTCGGCTGACCAATTCTTCCCGACACAGCCAGATTTCTGAAAGACACAATAAATCAATATGATTATCTAACATCAAATAATTGACTTATCTTGAATTAGGGCCATCGCCATCTTGACTTTTTGCAACCACGAACGGAAGTTGCCATATTCATAGACTTCCATACAATCAGTTGTTTTTGCAACCGGAAGAGTCCCCCCTGCTGGCCAGTAGAGAGAATGCAGGTTTTAAAATGTCCGATGGCTTCTCTCGGCTGAACCAGAGGTTGCGCCTGCAAAGAGTGCAGTCTACTCAACTGGAGCGATTTAGCACCATTCTTCCAGAATTCCCTCTCTTGGTGTTTTGATGATGAAAGTGGAAAATGCTTTAATATGTTGCTCCCAAAATCTCCCTAAATATGTTTAATTCCCAACTCAGTTGTACAGGTTTTTCCTGTATTCTGCTACCCTTGTAAATATTGAATTATACTGTATGTTAAAATGAAACCTTTCCAACCTTGTGTCTGCCTGCAGCTATGAAGACAGTGCTGGAGATGCCATCAGGAAGCTGCCTTCTCAGACTCAATACCAAAGGACCTGATGTTATAGGTGAGTCACAACATCTCAGTGAAAAAAAAAGAAAATAAAGAAAGAATTTCAAAGAATGATATTATTTTGGAATGTTTATTCCCCTTCAGTTTTTTTTGTCATAAGTCAGTATGTCCGTGTAAGTCTGTGTGTTTTATGGAAAACAAATGCTTTGGCAAATACATTCTAAGTTATAGTTGTAAAATATGTACTAATAAGGTCTTAAAAGAGAATAATCAGATCACATAGTCTCCTGTAAGACGGATAACTCTATATATCCAATATTTGTTTTCCCAACTGTCAGCCTAGTAATCCTGTCACAGAAGTTTAATAAAAATATCATCTGGCGTTTCCTAGCCACAAGGCCTAAAGCAGGACAGTGTTGTGTAAAATGCAGTGACTTGCACAGCTCCATATATTTATCGAGGTCAGGCATTTAATTATTATTATTATTTACAGCAAAGCACACGTTTTTTTTCTGTCAAAATAAATATGACATTCATAATGAAATGAGATGAAACATTCTGGACATTATGAAAGACTAACTATGTAAAAAGAAGAGCTGGCGGCAGCAGCAGTAGCAACGCTACGATTTGTTTGAGATCACTGCTCACTCAGGCAGTGTGGCCCGGGCATTAGGGTTGCAAGGAGTGCTAAGTGCTACTACTACGTGAAGGTTGTTTGACTCACATGGATTCGAGGCAATTTAAGGGACATTTTAAATCCTTTTAAAACATGATTTTAAAAACAATGTATCGACAGTAGTCGCGGACATATCGATACACTATCATTTAAACTATTGCGATATTAAGCTAAGTCAGTATTTGTGCTCAGCCCTATCTACATCCTTGTTTTGATCATTGATTTTTGAGTTTGTTTTGCTGTTGTATATTATCAGCTTTGCCCTACCTTGACTGGTGGTATCACTCCCCAACAAATAGCGTTTTCTGCATTTAATGTTATTTTAATTTTAATTAATTTTAAATCCTATGAAGTTAGAAGTTTTTCTTTATTTCTGTATTTGGGAGCATACACCACATTTCACACCCAGTTTGTTCATCATGATTTCTGCATTTCTTTTGCATCTTGATGAAGATATGTGAATATTAAGTTAAAACATAAGGTCAACATTGAAAGTTATTGTACAGTAATAAATGTCCATCTTGCTCTGTCTCCCTCAGTTATTGAAGCCATCTCTCTTAAGGGGAGAGTGGAGGAGACCAGTCTGGTGTCTACAGGCTCCTATGTGATAGGAAACACCTCCTTGGACTTCCAGAGAGGGACGGACAGGCAGACACTCAGGACACATGGCCCACTCAATGCTGATTTCATTATCAAGGTGAAACAAAGAAAAGAGAACAGGCTTAGGTTTATAACAAAACAGCCCTAGGACTTTAGTCTTCTGATGTACATATTTTATTAGAGATAGAATTGAAATACATCAGTCAAATTAAATACCATTTTGAGGTTGTTGCCAGCGGCACTATTGGTATCACTGTTGAAGAGACCTTTAAAATCTAAACAGAACTAAATCATCCTACTTGTAATGACTGTAGTTTCACAACCCCTTTCATATTGCAAATGTGATTATTTGTATTAAAACAAAGCTCTTCTCAGGAGTGCCCTATTAACATGAATCATCTCCTGAGCTCTACTTTGCTCCTCTATTGAGTTCTCTAATCCTCTCTAACCTACACATTTAACATAACAATGTTCTTCTTAACTATTCATTCTCCCTATATGTTGTGCAGATGAAGTATGGAGGCTCTAAGGATACAGTTGTCCAGTTTCTCTTCTACCAGCCAATCAGGTACCAGTGGAGAGAGACTGACTTCTTCCCCTGCTCGGTTACCTGTGGAGGAGGTGAGGTGACCATCAGTCAGTCGACAGTAATTGTAAACATGTGTCTTTGTGTTTGAATGATTATTTAACATTGTCTTAGTTTTCATTGATCCTCAGCTTTTGTATATCCAGCGTCATCTGTTGATAACTGCAACTTTTTACAGTAATGTACATTTAAACAGTCTGTGTCTGCTTTCCTCCCACAGGCTATCAGCTGAACTCTGCAGAGTGCACAGACATCAGATCCAACCAGACCCTGCCCGAGCATCATTGTAACAGCTATCCTGAAAACACCAAACCCACACCGAAACTCAAGGAGTGCAATATGGACCCCTGTCCAGAGAGGTAGGGATCAATACAGGTTGTATTTCAGCCTGGTATTACTAAATGGTAATGAATAACGTACCCATTTTTTGTTTTTGCATGTCATTTCATGGCGTGGCAATGTAAGAAGCTCAGAGCAAGTGCTTCGGAAGTTATGTGTTCGAGCATGAACAGCGAGAAAGTGTGCATTGGGAGGAGGTTGGGGTGTATGGATGAGTCAAACAAACACATGACTTTCACCCACAAAACCGGTGTTTAATGAGAACGGCTGGTAAATCAACATGCAAAAAGCTTTAAAATGCTGAATGTCCTTAAAGCTTGCGTAGGTAGCAATGGAACAAGAGTAAGCTCGATTTTACATATTATACAACCAAATCCCAGCCCAGTGTTGCCAACTCTTTTCCAATAAAGGTAGCTTGCAGCACTACCTCCAAAAGTTGCTAAATCTAGCAAGAAAGTCGCTCATGATAAGACAGATATCAAGGCTAAAGAGCAGTGCAAAGCATTTTCTCTTCATATCCTTGTACCCCTCTATTGTAACCTTGAAGGTCAAACTGCTATTAATAAGCACTGTGTCGGCTTACATTTATCGTCTATGCTTTCTCAAGATTCGTATGACCTCATGACTCTCGGGCTGCTATCTGGATACCAGATAGCAGCCCTAAGCGTTCACTGTTTTGTGATATTTTGTCTCCTCCAGTGATGGATTTAAAGAGGTGTTGCCATATGACCATTTCCAACCTCTGCCTCGGTGAGTGACCTTAAGATCCTTCATTTTAAAAGTTACTTTACTATTCTTTCGTCTCTTTGACATATTTCCTGTTTGGACATAGTGTTGGCTCAGATGTAACACAGGACGTGAGTTGGTGGAATGTGTCGAGAAATTTTTGATATTCTTGTTTGAATACATCCAATGAAGCACCCTGAAGTAACCAGAAGTAGAAGAACATAGAAAGACAAGCAGGAATTCATCTACATTAAACATTTACATAATATTGCAATAACATGTAAAGTTTACTAATCTGACAATTGGTCTAACCCAAGTCTTCTTGGAATATAAAAAACATTTTGATTGGACATTCTGACCTTTAGTAGTGAAGTTACTAACAATATATTTTGCAACGTTTTGCAATTTTTTGGATTTTATCTTTTTCCTGTCATTTTCATTATTAAAGTGGATTTATGGACAAGCCATACTTGAGTAAAAGTAAAGATACCTTACTGGAAAATGAATCCAGTAAAACTCACCTCTTAGAATACTACTTGAGTAAAAGTCTTAAAGTATCTGATATTTATTGTACTTAAGTATGAAAAGTAATTTTCTGATATTAAATGTACTTAAGTATTGAAAGTAAAAGTACAAGTAAATGCTGTTAATAAAAAAGCAAAGGGTCAGAATTTTGAGAATTATGAAGTTTATTCTTTTAAGTGCTGTGGCCACCATGACCAAGGACATGGAGCTGTGTTGAAAATAATTGGGTTGGCTGTGATCCATCCAGGAGCAACAATGTTCAACATAATATATTGTACATAAGTATATTTTTGCATCTACTACGAACTTATCATCATAATTCTCCGAAAAGCAATATGACACTATGAAGGAGTTGTAACAGTGCGTTTATAAGTATGCTCATTCCGACTAGAGGATGTACAGGGCAAATGCATAATATTGTATTCAGCAAAAAATATCCACTTGTGCATCAAGTCAGTGTTTTGAGTAAGGACACGTGCCTTGTAAACTCCTATATGGGCCTGATTTGAACACAATGGGCAAAGGTTTTGCTCAAGCTGAATCTGCAATTGGGCGACTGCTACCATCATAACTCGATCTGATCATCCACAAAATGACTCAAATATCAAAACATGATCAATACTAAAGCAGCACCGAAAGTAACAACCCAGTCATTACTTGAAACTGAAAAATGTCCCATTCATCTTCAAAAGAAGTTGGTTTTCAAAATTGCGAGAATTCAGTCTCGCTCTTCTTGGGCTGAAGACTAGTCCTGCGATGCTAAATAGCCTTTCACAGGCCGCTGAGGCAGGTAGAGGTGTGTTCAGCTTCACACACAGCTTGCGCACCGCTGGAAGGATTTCCCTAATGCTGCGCTCTCGCGGCTCCTGTCAATCCTATGGTGTGGTGGCTAGCTAACGTTAAGTTAGCTAACGTTAGCCAACTAGTGCTGCAATGATTATAGCTAAGATGACTCAAATCAACACAATCTCACAACTGTCAACACTTCCTCAGCTCACTAACTCGCTAGCGATCCACGGGTGTTGGTCTTTGTCACCACCGTAGTTTGTTGCGGGAGTAGCAGGTGCTTCCATTTCTGCTTCCGTCATAAAATCAGTCATCGTAGAGTGGAATTCTACTCATGTAGTCGCTCGCTAGCTATAGCATATAGCATCCTGGGCATCACTGGGAATCAAAACACCGCGGCTTTGAGAGCACTTGTTTGCAATTGCGCATTAACGTGATTAACCAATGATTTAACTTGCAAGCTAGGACCACTGATTCTCCAAACCTGCTTGCTTGCAGTCTCTGTTCCACCACAGTCCCCGACGTTGGTCTCATGATTCATTTTTTTTCTAAAGATAGATTTTGATTTTGTAGCGAGTAACGAAGGTTTCAGGGGAAATGTATCGGAGTAAAAGTATCAATTTTCTTTGCAAAATGTAGTGAAGTAAAAGTAAAAGTCAACAGAAATATAAATAGTACAGATATCCAAAAAAAAACGACTTAAGTACAGTAACTAAGTATTTCTACTTCGTTACTATACACCACTGCCATTGAGTGACTTGAGAAAGCATTAAGTGAGCTTGGCCCTTGTTATGTGTGTTTGCGCAGCTGGGAGCAGGGCCCCTGGACCCAGTGCTCGGTGTCCTGCGGTCAAGGTGGCGGGTGGCAGGTTCGCAGCATGCTGTGCGTGGAGGAGGACACGCAGGGACAGTTCTCCCAGGTGGAGGAGTGGAAGTGCACCCACTCCCCTCGACCTATCACCCAACAGATTTGCAACACCTTTGCCTGCCCCCAGTGGGTGGCCATGGAGTGGTCTCAGGTCAGTGAATCTGTTTATACCAGCCATAAAGTCATAAAGGGCTCTATTTGGATATATTTGTATAACATTTCTATTTTCATCAGTTTTACTTTTATCAAACATTGTCTGGTTTTGACATCTCAGATATGAGGATTTGCAAGCCATTCTCATTCCCAACTTGTCACATATGGATGTTTGCTCAGGACGTCAGCAGTGTCCTGGGTGAAAGTCCTGCTACTCTTTTGACCACGTCACCTGGCTTCCAGAGCAGTTAATCTGACTGTGTAATATTGCCATAGATGGGTTTATAATGGAGTTACAAATGCTAAAGGGTGCCTTGTGCGTCAGTATTTGACGGCCTGGGAATGAGACCAGACTGAGATTTTCTGCTTTTCTATCTTTTCTATCATTTTAAATGTAATATCTTTGAGTTTTGGACTGTTGTTCCGACCAGTGCAAGCCATGATAAAACCTAACCGTAGAAAACTGTTATAGGCATTTCCACTATGGGCATATTATAGACTGAATGATGAATCACTTAATCCAAAAAATAATAATTTGATTAAATAGTTAATTTATTATTTAAAAGAAAATAACTGAGATATTGATCTAGTGGTTACCAACCTTGGGGGCAGGACTCCCAAAAGAGGGAGACAAAATCAATCTTGAGGGGTTACAAGATCATTAACGCTAGAAGAAAGCAGAACAAATATATTTCTATAATCATGTGCAGCCTTTTTCCCGTTTGTTAAAAATTACAATCAATTTACCTTTTAAACAGTCAAATGAACTCAGTGACTTAACGAGTCACAACCAGTAGACTTTAAACTGGTTGGATCACAAGTAGACTTGAAGGTCCACAAGCCCAAAATATTGGGAATCACCAATCGACAATGAAAATAACCGGTAGTGGCCACCCTGATGACTTGATCAATGCCAATTGCAAATTGTATAATATGTGAGTTAGTGTGTGTGTTGCTGTCCCACTGCAGTGCACAGTGACGTGTGGTCATGGCCTGCGTTACCGGGTGGTTCTGTGCATTGACCATCGTGGGCAGCACATTGGAGGCTGTGAAGCGTCACTCAAACCTCATGTTAAAGAAGACTGTCTGGTCCCTATTGCCTGCCATAAGCCCCGAGGTAGGACACTATTCATTCCCAGAGAGCTGTGTGTGTGTGTTGTAAGGAAGCCAAGACCATAGTGGACAAGTGTTTACAGCTCACACATTTATGTGAGAGACAAATGTATAATACCTTATTTTTTGTGCATATCTTATTGTATAAAGTTCCACTGTTGGACAAAGGAAGGGATGTATTTGAATCGGAAGCCATGCAAACACACATGCACACAAGAAATAAAATAAAGCTGCTAGAATGGCCCAGACGATCACCTGACTTGAATCCAATAGAAAATCTATGGAAAGAACTAAAAATCTTCAAGATTTGAAGACTGTTTGTGTGGAAGAATGGGCCAAAATCACACCTGAGCAATGCATGCGACTAGTTTCTCCATACAGGAGGCATCTTGAAGCGGTCATTACCAGCAAAGGCTTTTGTACGAAGTATTAAATATATTTCAATAAGCGTGTTCAATACTTTTTCCCTGTGTCATTCCATTTTATTACACATAACTTAATTTCTGACCGTATTTGTTTGGTTTACTTGGGTTGTTACCGACATCTGGTGAAAAGTTCATGTCAATAGCACCTTTAGAAATATATTTGCTGAGAAAAATGGTGACGTGTTCAATACTTATTTTACCCGCTGTATGCTGACAATTTAATGAGAAGTCTCTCAATTTGTGATCCTTACTCGGTGTGAAACCTGGGCCTGTTTAGATGAACACAAAGCTGATATCCTGGCAGAAGCTGAAGAAAGGCTCACACAAAGCTCTTCCTCAACAGCTCTCAGTCTATCTCTGTTTTTAGTTTTGTTGTCCAGGGCCCAGTTCATAGTCTGCATTTTTCCTTTTCAAATATTTCTCCATCGCTGTTCATCTTGTCACCGCAACCATCATTTAATTCTACCATCTTAAATTAACAATGTCATTATTGAGCTACCTACTGCCACCCACTGGCATGGAAGAGTATTTAATTACTTAGTCAGCCACTATATTGCAGGCTCAGACGCTCAACAGTTGCAAATTATTTGCAGCAACTAAATAATTTTTTTTTGGACCGATTAAGTAAAACTGGACATTTTCCCGCGGCACACCACTGTGATTTTCAACAGTGGTTGAAAATCACTGGACTAGGGTGTAACTTTCTTTCTGTCTCTCTGTCAGAATCCCTGCCAGTGGAGGCCAAGGTGCCCTGGTTAAAACAATCCCACGAACTGGAAGAACAGCGTACTGCTACAGAGGACCCCACGTGAGTACGCACACTTACGCACACATTTACACATCAACAGCATGCAATGTTGTGCTCTCCAGTCAAAATGGCCATGCTCAGCTGTCTACAGAGACATAGGGCGCTTTCACAAGGCATAGTCCGTTTTAACCGTTTTGCTCTAATCAGATGAAATGATACTTTTTGGTTTTTTTCTATTTATTCTGATACGGTTGCACAGCGCACAAAATAAAGCGGCTAGCATTTTTTAAAGAGACACGCTAATTATTTTATTTTGTTTATTCTTTTTTTCAGTTTATTTCCAATGACAAGTATGAATGTATATTTGTCATGCATGTATGTGTATGTATGAATGTTGTCTAGTAGTAGTATCTATATACTGTATGTGCCCCTTTTAGGGGATAGAAAACTTATAGATGTCAATGCAATTTGTCGTGTCTTTTGATCGAGTGACTTTGACAACTTTGTAGGTATTAATTTCTTGTTAAACAAACATTTGTTTGATACACATGTCTGATCATTATTTTGCGACCTTTCCTTACTTATAAGTCGTTCGATGTTCTGTCATGCTCCTTCAATCTTTCCCCGTCCATGTGGATCAATGACCCAACACAGTGGCTGGATATTGCTTCTTCTATAGATACAGTCAACAATACAGTACAGTATTTGATTGAATCAACAGATATCGATAGGCTTAAGTGTAACCAACCTGTTAAAAGGCAACAGTTTGATCTATTTTAGGCTGAGATTTTTTGGAGTCCAGTCTGATGCATATTTACCATATGACTGTACTGCAACAGCCGCTCAATCAAGCTAGCTATCCAGCATCACTGACAGGGAATATTCATATGTCTTATTTTTCTTGGCGATCGCCACTTCATGAGCAGTCTGGCCTATTGCCGTATGCTAGGTGTGCGGTGATGTCATCCAAGCCGATCTTACTCCCAACCGACGCTTGGTCAGTGCCCCTCAGCATCTGATACCGACGCACCGCACTTTCATCTAACATTAATGTAAACCCATCCATGTCATTATTAGACCCTCACAGCAATAGGAGTAGTGTGAAGTGAGGGATGTGCAGGCCAGGAGGCGTCCACCTTCGTCCACAAGATCGCTGTTCGTGTAACGTGCAAAACTAAAAGTAAACGTTATTTACTAGTCACGTGAGTGGTTCGTGTTTTTTTTTGACGAGACCTAACTTTCTGTAAAGAAGCAAGCTGATTTTGAAACGATACTTTGCAATTAACGAGTGGAAACTGACAGGCCATCCCTAGCACATCCAAAACGGATGCAAGAGGGGTACCTAGCGACATACTTTGAAGCGTTGGGCTATTGACCAAGCGTCGGTATTTGATGAGTTGGGAGTGAGAATGTGATTTGCCGGAGTCTTTCAATTCTATTCAATTCTATTTATTTGTATAGTCCAATATCACAAATTACAAATTTGCCTCGGAGGGCTTTACAATCTGTACTGCATACAACATCCTCTATGTCTGCGAGCATGTATTCTGAGCATTTTTCCACGGCTTTTTTAACTGCTTTTGAACCTCATTTGAATTTAGAGGAGCTGGTCTCCCTTATTGATCAAACCTGTCAGACTGTCCTGGACTCTGTTACCCCCTTTAAAGACAAAATACCAAATAGAACACCCCAGCCCTGGCTAAATGAAACCACCCATGATTTAAAGAGGGACTCTAGGAGAAAGGAACAAAAATGGAAAAAAACAGGTCTATTTTACAAGAGTTGGACAAATGCAATGAAGACTTATCAAGCGGCAGACGGTGCCAGAAATTCCTTCTTCTCCAACTTAATTTTAGCAAATCACTCGAATCCGAGAATTTTATTTAAGATAATCGACTCTGTGGTCACCCCCTCCCTCCTCCTGTAATTTTACTGATGCCTCACAAGAGATGTGTGAGTGGTTTTTAAACTTTTTTACAGAGTCAAGGACATCAGGCAACAAATTACCCCCACAGACCGTGTTTTACATGTCAGTAGGGATATTCCTAGTTATTTTAGCAATTTTAAACCTGTTTCGCTGTCCTTTTTAGCTGAAATCATATCCCGTATAAAATCAACCACGTGCAGTATTGATTCTATACCAACTACATTTCTTAAAGAGGTTATTAACACAGTTGGCCCCAGAATGTTATTGATTATTAACAGTTCATGAGCAACATGAACTGTTTCAACTACTTTTAAACATGCTGTGGTCCACCCTCTTTTAAAGAAACCCAATCTTGATTCCTCTGTACTTAGCAACTTTAGACCCATTTCTAAACTTCCGTTTCTATCAAAAGTTTTAGAGAAAGTGGTCTCAACCCAGCTTTTAGCTTTTATGTGTCATAACGTTTTTGAGAAGTTTCAGTCAGGTTTTAGAGCTTTAGCATAGCAGAGAAACCGTCCTCCTCAAGGTATCCAATGATCTCCTTTTAGCAGCCGACAGAGGGGAAAGCTCCATTTTAATTATTTTAGACCTAAGTACAGCCTTTGACACAACAGACCATGATATTTGAATCAACTGTCTTAAAACCTGGGTTGGCATCAAGGACACTACACTTAGTTGGTTTTATTCTTACATTTTAGAAAGAACCCACTCGGTCACCATAGGTAATTTCTCATTCTCTACATCTCACATTACCTGTGGTGTACCGCAAGGTTCAATTTTATGTCCAATTTTATTTTCCATATACATGCTCCCACTTGGTCATATATCATCCAACGTCACAATGTTTCTTTTCATTGCTACGCAGACGACACACAGATATACCTTCCCTTGAGACCTGATGACCCCAGAAGCCTAGCTGCTGTTTTAGACTGTCTTAATGATATCAACTGTCGGATGGCACAGTTTTCTTCATTTTCTTCAACTCAATAACTCAAAATCAGAAATCATAATATTTAGTCCCCCAAACCCTATCACTCCCATTAAAAATGGCCTTGGCCCCCTGGTCATTAACATAAAGTCCACTGTTTTTTATTCAGATTTAAGCTTCAAACCACAAGTCACAAAAGTTCTCTAGTCCTGTTTTCTACAAATTAGAACCATCGCCAAAATCAAAGGAATGCTCTCTCAACCTGACCTGGAAAAAGTAATTCATGCATTCATCTTTCAAGACTTGATTACTGTAACTCCCTTCTTTCTGGCATCAACCAAAAGTCACTCTCTCGCCTCCAACTAGTTCAGAATGCAGCAGCTCGGATTCTCACTAGTTCTAAAAGACGACTTCACATCACCCCAATCCTGGCCTCTCTCCACTGGCTCCCTGTACATTTTAGAATCGATTTTAAGATTTTACTGACCACTTTTAAAGTACGTATGGGTCTGGCCCCAACATAGAGGAAATGCTATAAGTCAGCTCACAGCCTAAGATCCTGGGGTGGGGCCCTTCTGGCTGTTCCAAAGTCGAGGCTGAAAACTAAAGGTGACCGTGCCTTTTCCATTAGGGTCCCTCGGCTTTCGAACGAGCTGCCTGAGGAGATAAGACTCGCAGAATCAGTAATCTCTTTTAAATCACTTCTTAAAACACATTTTTACAGACTGGCTTTTATGTGAGGTGTTGTGGAATATTTCTTATGACTAGTTGGGAGAAGAAAGTGAAGGTTTTCAATCAATATAAAGTAAACAGAGTCTTGATGAACGATCAAGGTTTGTAAAGTCAATTTATTTATTATTACCTAAATAATAATGACTACTTGATCATTCATCTGTGTCTGTTAAATTATACGATCTTAGTATAATTTTACAATTACTTTTACAATTGGAATTTTAACATTCTTACCCGATATTGTAGAAATTAATTCTTTGTCGTTGGATTCGCATGCCGTCAATCAGAAACTCCTCGGTTTCCGCCGGCTCTCTCTTCTCTTGTCTAAGGAGGTATTGAGACAGGAAACGTCAGTTATTGAACCTGGAAATGCCTGTTCTCTGGACGGTCCCCCTGGAGCCTGATGGACGGTCAGCGAATCCTGCCGACAAACGCCAAGTTTGTTGTGGAATATTTCTTATGACTAGTCGGGAGAAGAAAGTGAAGGTTTTCAATCAATGTAAAATAAACAGAGTCTTGATGAACGATCAAAGTTTATAAAGTCAATTTATTTGCTTGCAAGCAAAGAGAACAGTCTCACAGACACATTGCAGTGATCTGTAAGAGTGGTCTGCCTAAACATTCACAATGCATGGACATTTATGCTCAGACAGCTTCCTGTTATCTGCTTAGCTAACAAGAATACACAAAGGAGAACACAAATAAAAACAGGTCATCCTTCGAGCCTTAGTATACTTCATTTAAGACAGTCAGGAAGGCGCTTTATCTCCTGTTTGCAAATCCCTTTGTTCACAGTTTGCCTTACAATAAACCGTTTAAACACACAGCAGATGCTTCCTTTGAGGCCACTGTGACATTGTTAAAATGACTAGAATAGACATTTTTTACCCTCACACATCATATATGCATGCAAAGGTTTACGCCTTTACAACTTCAGATAATTCGTCATAAAGGAAGTAAAAGTATTTCAGACAAAGGATCTCTGTTAGTCAAGGCCTCTCTGTGTCTCTGTCTTACGAAGAAAGAAACAGTGCACGAGATAACAGATAGCAAGACACCTGGATACAAAACTAACAGAAATCATCTACTGAAACTTTTGCTGTTGTGGCCTGGTGCGGGCGTGGGTCGTGGCCAGGCGCCGGGTTCTGGCAGCGTTCCTGGGGGATCTTATCCCATTAGCCCCGGGGTGGGCTGAGATTCCTTGGGGGCGCTGTCGGGGCCTGGTGTCTGGCTGTGCGTCGCGTTTGCATCAGGTCGTGGCAGTGGAGGGGGGCTCTGCCGGGTACTGGAGGTGCTTGTCATGGGGGGATTGAGTGGTTTTGGGACTGTGGTGTTCATTGGTGGTGGCACTTTGTGTTGGATTTGGGGAGACCGCTTGTAGCATTGGTTGTGCTGAGCTATTTGGGTTGTCCTTGTTTTGGTTGTTTTTTGGGAGCGGCTGGGGGTTTGTAGATTTTGCGGATGGACCTGATT